CGCTCTCGCGCTCGCGAGGCCTGCTCTTTGGAGCGGAGCTGCTGAGGCCGGACGTGGACTTCCAGACCTTTGGCCAGCTGGGTGCCTTGGGATTGAAATAAATCGGGCGCGTCGTGGGCTCGGACACAGCTGGTGAGGGCTGCGGAATCCGTGTCGCAGCACCCTACGAAACTCCCCGACTGCTATTGGGTTGGATCTTTAAACTTTAACTTTTTGGGAAACAAAGGTGTTTTTCCACTAAACCCCCAACAAGTTAAACTTTTTGCAGGGGGGGTCAAGAGCAACCAAGACTCTGGATTTTTTTTTGTGCCCTCTGCCAACGGTGGAGGCAGCAGGCGACATCTACAGCTGGGTTCGGCAGCCTTTTGTGTGAAGCAAATCACGGGAGACGCCCGCCTTTCCCGGAAGGCGCTTGTTCGGGGTTTAGATGGAGCTCTTGACCCAGGGCCTCAATAAAAATGGGGCATTTGCTGCTTCATACCTGGACCAACCAAGGGCACTTTTTTTGCGACTGTCTGCAAGAATCCGTTCATTTCCTTGAAATCCATACATTTGAGCACAAACTGTACTTTCTTGCAGGCTCAACGCAAGACACAGGAGCATCAAGCGACTTTTTCTACAAGAATCTCACGTTCAACTCCGGCCCTGGCACTGGAGATTGTCATGCTCATGGGCCAAGAAAAACCAGTTGAAGGTGTGCAATTCACCAAGGACAAAAGGTTCGCATTTCCCCGAGCAAATGTTCCGCCGATTTCCGTACTTTTCCCGCCGATTTCCGCGCATTTCCCGCCGATTTCCGTGCATGTCCCGCCGATCTCCGTGCATCTCCCGCCGATTTCCGCGCATTTTCGGTTTCTGCATTTTGGCTGAGACAACTGCAAACTGGCAAAAGCGGCAAGCAAGCTGTCACATGTTGCCCCACAGCAATAGGAGACGAATGACCTGAAACGGAATTAAGTATGACGGGCCATGTAAATTGCAAACTGTGTTCATGTGCATCCATGTGCACCACAAACGCTCACAGCCTGCTAAAAGCGATTTCCGCCAAATTTCCTGAAAAGTGTACATTGACATTTGTTCTGCATGTACGGAAATTTCAGTACTTTTGGAGGGTTCAGGTATCAACCCGTGATTGAAACTGCTCCGGGTACAGGCGCCCACTTGGAAAGGGCTTTCATACTTTTGGGAAAGCACGATTGAAGAACCGCACAATTTGACCTGGCAGGTCTTTGCGGCCAGTTTTGCCCATGGCGAGGGCGGCAAGCTTCGCTTGTCTAGGCAATATGTGTGCAATACCCAAGAACCCCCAAGGTGTTTTCCCTTGGGACCCCAACCAAGCCCGGGTCCCGAAAAGGATTCGCGGGTGCAGTTGAAAAAGACTTGTTTCTTTACCAGCCGCTTGGAGGGTCCGAATCCCTGTAAACCAGATGTGACTTTGGATGTACTGTGGATGAACGAAATCCTGCACCACTCGTTGGTATTTACGTTGGGCAATCGAATCAGGGTCATTCCAGGGTTTCTGAACGGTGGTGCGTTTTTTGGATTTCGCGCCCATCCACAGTATCAACCACCATTCACCCATGACTTGTGGAGGGTCCAAATCCCTGTAAACCAGATATGACTTTTGGATGTAACCGCCACCCAGCACCTCGCCTCGCTCCCAGGCATGGTGGACGGCTGCGCCGTCTCCTTCGTGCGCTCCGACCCCGAGGGGCTGCCGAGGGCCGAGAAGTTGGCGGGCGCCTGCGAGACCAACGCCTTCGCCTTTTTCCGCCGGAACCGGAACGTCTACAAAGCCCTGGCGCCGCAGCGGCAACTTAAGCGGATCCATTGGCTGAAATGAAGATGTGTTTTTTCCCCTGCTGGTGTTAAAGGGAACACTGTGTTTTTTCCTTTCTTTCTCCCCTGCTGGTTTTTAAAAGGGAATCTATCACCGTTGGATATATGTTTTCATGTTTTCCAGGGGGGGAAACAGCAAATGGAAGTAGGGGGTGGGGACTAATGTTGAGCCCATATGAATCAACCCTCAGTTTAAACTCATAGGGACAGCCCTCTATTAACAAGGGCTTGGTAAATATGGGGTCAACCCGAAGAGTTAGGGATTGATTTTCCCCAAACCGGGAGGCTTTTGCGGCAGTTTGACGCTTCTTTGTAAGACCCCCTGAGTTGCTGGGCTTGACGCTTGGGATTGGACCATAGTGGTACACAAAAAGTCTGGCTGCTTCGTTTTGGCCCATCCACTCGATCAGTGAGAAGGTGGAAAGGGTACCAACTCCCGATGGGTTGATTCCTTGTCCATTCTTTTCAACCATCGGTTCTGTTCAAGAACCAGCTGTTTCCCTAGGGTTTGGGGTGGTTTTCTAGAAAGATCCGGATCCCTGGGTTGAGAATGGGGAAGCTACCCTTAGAAACTGGAAAGCGTCCAGGTTTGGGGGCTATGCCTTTGCACGCTCATTTTGTGTAGTACCCCTGGAGCAGTTGAACATCACCATTGGTTGGTGCCCCCAAACAAACCCCCAACATTCTGGGCTGATCGCAGCCATGGCCACTTGCCAGGTCAATTTCACCAGTTGCCTTCACTGCGTGTGCGAATCCATACCCTTTACAAGGCTGCCATTTTTGAAACTCAACACCGTCCAATTCCCTCGTTGCGGTTTCAGCCTCGAGGACTGCCAGCACTTGGGCCAGTTGCGCTTGGCGCGAGCCACTGTGGGCAACTTTGGGGTGAACTACACCAAAGGCGCGGCTGAATGACCAAAGACGTAGTTTCTTGGTGGTTCCCAGCCCAGGTTTCTGATATTTTCAGGTGTCTCCTCCAAAACTCTGATGTGTTCTGGTTGGTCTGCTCCAAAACTAGTGTGCATAAATTGGGGTGTGTATTCTTCATGCTGGCTGGCAGCCAGCATGTGATTGGGCTGACTTGGGCTGGATGAGGGGGGTGGGCTGTTTAGCGGCAACTGCAACCCAGGATGACTACATCCCTTGACTAATTACAACGGGAGAACGGGAGTGCCCCACTCTAGAGAAGCTGCATTTTTTGGGAGCGCCTCCCCTCCTTGAAAGTCTGGAGTTGGCAATTGGACATGTGAGGTAGGGCTTGACAACAAGGTGGTACTGTGGATGGTTGCGAAATCCATTTTGCACCATGTAAGAAACCCTGGAAGCCCTGGAATGATGATTCCCTTGCAAAAAGTTCCAACAAACGTCATGGTTTCAACCATGGTTTCTTAGGTGGTGACGAAATGGATTTGCGTCCATCCACAGTAGGTTTTGGAAAGGCTTGCAAGGGGCCGCACAAATCAGCACTGGACACAATCCACTAGTGGTCATCCTTTGGTTTTTTGAGGAGAAGGTCCCGATCTGACAGCTTTTCTGCCTTGAGGCATTTGGAAATGCAAGAGAGTCGGCCTAGTGCCGTTTGATTCAGCAGCCTATGTTCGTTTCCAAGCTCGACATTTGGTTTTGGCTTGCCTGTCTTCTGTGGAGCTTTGATGAAAATTGCTTGTTTTTTTCAGAATCCTGCAGTTTTATTGCCGCACGCCGAGATGGGTATGGACGATGTTGCTCTCACGTGTGGGACGAGGTCAGCTGATTGTGTACTATGAGGAGGTGGTGATCTGTATTGCAAATATGTAAAATGAAACAGGGTTGAGTTGGCTTGCAAGAAGCATCTCGTTTCCCTGTCAATTTCCCTGTCAATGATGCTGTTCTCGGAGGAAGACAGATGAGCCCAGGCAGTGTCTTCAAGGTGATGTCCCTAGGGGCCTCCGACCCCAAGCGGGCGGTGCAAGGGTTCATTTCTTAGTTCGTTTGTTGCCGAATCAGAGGGTTCAACGAGAGAAAAGCAATGAATCAACTTCAACTTCCTTCAAAGGCTGATTGTAAACGGGGCCAGTGGTCTTTGGGACGCTTTTGGAGGCTAGCTGCTCACAATTATCCCTGAGCCCATGAGCACTGAAATCGGCAACTCGGCTGTGCATTCAGCCGCTGCCTGTCGGGCAGGCTGGAACTGCGACGGCTGCGAGAAGCACTTTGCCAACGGCACGATGCTGCATCGCTGCGACGTGTGTCAAATCGATTTCTGTGACGTTTGTGCCCAAGGATAATTAATTCGGCGCTGCAAGCGGAACGTGGCACTGGGTCACTTTCAATATTCCCTTGTGGGACTGGAGCGAATTCGGAGGGACATTTTGACAATGAGAATTGAGTGGCCCAGTGATGCGCTATCTCGTCGATTTGGCACTGGGTTTAACCTTGCTGTTTCTTATTCTCTCCTCACACAGGAATGAGGGGGAAAGCTCGCTGCGAACACGCCACGTCATGTACAGGAGGACGACGCTTGAATAAGCGCCAGAGCGGCACATGCGCCTGCAGATGATGATCGCCCGTCAAGTGCATGGCGACATGTACTGATACTTTATTTGTCTTGGCAAGCATTTGTTTTTTCCAGTTCCGCTTGATGTGTGTGGATTCCTGCCCAGAATATTAGTTTGGTGCATGTAGCACTGCACTTCAAGAGCTGGCGGCCGCCGCTGGGGCAGGGCCCTGACCAACCACATTGGGTTTCTGGACACGCATGCTGGATGAGTGACTTTTGCTCTGCGCTCACCATAAGTTTGGCAGAATCATGCTCAGGGTTGCCCCTTGCCAACCCTGGATAAACTCCCGGGAGTCAGCTTTTCCAAGCAGCAAGACGAGTCTTTTTCGCGGGGTGCGCAGGCCCACTTTCAGCTACTGCATGGATTTTCAGGCCAGATGATGAACTTTAAGACTTTTGGCGCATTCCTTTTCAGCTGCCTCAGACTGCATAGGACCAAACGCCTCCCCTCTCCGCTAATCCCTCGATTTGTTTCTCTAGGTATGGGTCAAAATCAAACCAGCGGGGGACCCCAGGTTTTTTGTCCATTTTTCCATTTGCCAGGGTTCCATTTGGGGCACCTATTTTTGACCCACAGCCACCAAGATAGAATAGGCAGTGACGTTCTCGCCCCCCGTCACAGGCAGAGGCGGTGAGCAACGGCGCACGGTTTGGGAAGCACCGGAAGGAGGCGCATACGTTTGTAGCTCTGGGATGTTTGGAGGCTAGGTCCCGCAGTGGTGCCTTTGTGCCCTTTTTTGGGGAAGGTTCCCCTACTAAAATAGACTAGAGAAAGAAGGGTACCCTTATTCTAACCTCTCTACTGGAGGACCTAGAAGGGAACCCGCACCGATTTCGTTGGTTGGGCGGGTTGATTGTTTTTTGTGACTTGCGACCTGGCTGGCGTCGCGAGTCGTATGAAGCGATTGGGCGAGAATTATGCCTTTGCTTGCGCAAACCCATGAACATTGAGTCACCACGGGGAAATCTCAAGGCGCGAAAATCCAAGCGGCAACGCCCAAAGAAAGAACACCAATGCTACCCTCAACGGAACCTGCCTCCGGCACCCTCCCAATGGAGCCAACCAGTTTCCTTCACTGGTAAAGTCGGCCCCCGGGTCATCCTTGGAGTGATTCAACGGAAGCAATGAAGCCAAACGCTGGGGTCCGATTTGCTGGAAACCGGTGGATTTCAACCCTGGCTTGTTTCGCCGCTGAAAAAGGAACCCGTCCGCTGTGCGCCAAACCAGGATCCCAAAACCTACGGTTGGAAATGGTGCTGGAACTCATGCCCCTGGGCTATAAGTAAATATTCCACCTAAGGACATGCGTTGTTTATCGCCATACTGGACGAAATCCTGCACCACTTTGAAACCATGGGAAGCCATTTTGTTGGTATTTACGGGGGATCAACTCATTCCAGGGTTTCTTAGGTGGTGCAGGATCTAGTATCAGGTAGGTCCACAAGTGGGTCAGAATTCTTCAGGCGAACTCCGTGGGCTGTTGTGCTTGCTGCTGCTCAGGGAATGACCTTCCGGGTGTTGGGAATGAACCTAGGGATTGGAAGGAAACCAAATCGGGGATGGTGTTTCTCCATTCCATTGGTCCTTCCCTGCCGAATCGAAAGATGGGATCGGTCTCGGTCAGGCCCACGTGCCTACGGATCCGGATCACTGGCCCGGACCTCATTTTTGCTCTCCGCGGGCTGTTTGCGCATGGATTCCGCTGTGGTTTTTGAGAACTTTGATGTGGTTGCTGGTCAGGTTCTGGATCATTTGAGCCAAGGCCGCCCCCCCAAAAGAAAAACTTCCCTAACTCAGAAGGCTAGGTAGGTCATCCACCAGTGAGTGCTAGGCCGGCGCTGGTGCAACAGGCAGCCCTTGCTGCCAGCTCAGCTGCTGCTGCGGAAGCGTCAGGCTGCTTGCCTCTTCGCGCGGTTCAGGGGGTGGTCATGAGTTGATCTGTTCACCCAGGTGAAGTCATTGCTCGTTGTTTTCTGATGAAGCCAGCAAATTGACTGGCTTCCATGCCTGCTTCTTTTGAAACCACTTCCCACATTTTTCGGCCTGGGGCCAATTTGCGTGGGAAGAATTTGTGGAAACAAGCAGCGTGGACAGGTTGTTTGTATATGGCCAATCCTCTCAGGAAGCGAAATCCAGGTAGGGGAAGTCTCATGTGAGGCTGGCATAAAGAAGAACGCAAACTAAAGTGGACACCCGCCATCTTTTGGCTCCATTTGTTGGGGACCGCAATTTTCTCAATGTTGAAGCAACTCCCTATCAATGGACATGCTTGGCGCCACTTCACCAAGCGGTTGCTTGCACCTCTTCAACTGCAACAACCGTACTAGAGTCCCGGTCAGGCATCACCAAGGCCGGCTTGGGACAAAGGTGCGAACTGGCTTCCTGACCGGGTGTTGAAGAAATCACAGGTTGCCGGGCCAGGAGGGCAAGTAAGAGCACCTTTGATTCGAGGAGCTCACTGAACCTTTGCTTCTATTTGCTCAATATGTTGTCCCTCTTGGGTTTAAAGGGAATCTATCACTACCGGACATGTTGTATGTTTTTCCAGGGGCTGAAGCAAATCGAAGTTTGGTTGAGCAATGATTCAGGGGGTTCATTCTGAATGGGAGATGAGTTGCAACCGTTACCACAATTCGCCTGGCTTCCAGGGCCAGGGCACCAGCATGAGGCGGTTCAGCAGACATTTGCATTTGGGTGTGTGTGTGTGTGTTTTCTTTGTGGGAGCCCCTATGATGGTTGGTTTTGAAGGGAACCAAAAGGAGAACCGACCCCCACCCCCACCCTTTTGGTTGGTTGTAAACAAGAGTTCTCCAAGACAAAGACTCCGAAGCCATTGTTTTGGGCCCCCCCCTTTTTGGTTGGTTGTAGAATGGGGTTCTCCGAGACGAAAACACCAAAGCCGTTTTTTGGCCCCCCCCCCCCCAAAGAAAAAAGATGCGCCGTCATCCGCAGAGTTTGATTGAGCCCGATTTGAGGCATCTCGCTGGACACCCGCGGCTACTCCAAGACCTCAATGGGCTCCATGCGCTCGGTTGAGGCCAAGCCATTTTTTGGGGGACGCACTCACATGGCTTTGGTTTTTCATTTTGGTTTCACTTTTAAAGACGACCAAAAGGCGTAC